TTGAGCTCCTGATGCTTGCAAARGAAGCTGCAGATGTGTGCCTGGTAGGACCTATGCACTGCAGGGGTGAACAGGGCAGGAATAGAGAGACCACAAGAAGAGAAATGTTATTTTCTTTTGCCTCAGGTATGTTGAAAGAGCAGCTGAAGGCCCTTGTTCCAAACTGAAACTTCGGTAGCTGATGGGGAAGGTTGGTTGCTGCCCTGTTTCTAGTGCCTTGCACACAGTAGCTGGGACATTTAAGKTTTTTTTTCACCAGCATCTCTGCCAGGATCTTCAGAAATCCACAGCTGCATATGATTTAATTTTATTGTGATTATTTTATTAGAAGTGTGAATAGATGAGAGGTTTACTTAAGTCCTTTGTCTAAAGCACATTGCTGCTAGCCAAGTTGGTGAGTTGGGATGCTGCAAAACCTTTGTGGTGTTCTTACCCAGTGTGGTCCTATTTCTGGACCATGTTTCCATGCCTGTTTTCAACAGAAAATTTAGTATTTAAATTGAAAGCAAAGGCTAGTTATTTATTTTTTTGACATATATAATCCTGTAAGGGGACGAGAAGTTTTGACCTGAGGGCACCAGCACTGGGGGGTTCTTTGTATGCACAAACTCATCTGAGCTCCCAGCAGGATCAGGCCCCTTTGGACAGCAAGGATATGTAGGATGTTGCTTGTTCCTTTTTGTGTTCAGATTGCAATAGTATTTTTTCATAACTCTGGCATTTTTTTTTTCCTTTTGGTTTGTTTGTTCATTTTAATTCATAGGTCTGAATATGTAAATGGCTTTCGGCCATATGGAATTATTATATGTCCAACTGATGAAGTATTGTGCATTAGATTTTCTGTTTTCAGACTAAGTGGACAATATTAGAAGGGGGAAAATGGTCAAACATTTAATTCAAAGTAATTCCATAATGAAATTGTTGTCTATAATTACTTTAAATGTAATCCAGATAGATCCAACTGGAAGAATTATGGAGCAGGGATGTATAGCAAGGCTGTCAGGACAAGGAGAAATAGATACTGCTAAAAAAGACTGCAGTGCCTCTCTATATAATGTATTAAATTTATCTTAAAAGCAATTCTCTGATAAGTACATACCTGTACTTAAAGAACAGAATCCTTTCCTTTYGCCTTTTACAGCCCATACCAGCACACTTTACACGGTTCAAAAATGTCGATAGTTCAGAGGATTCCTAAGTTAGCAAAGATTTTTTTTTTTTTTTTAATACATTCAGCCTCGCATTGCTTCCAGATTTTCAGGAAGTTATTAAGCAAATGCACTATCTGCACCTCTGTGGTTTATGTCAGAGTTTAAATTACACTAAAATAAAAAAATGCAACCTCTAAATATGCCCTCATTTACCTGATTTTAGATGTTTATATCAGCATTTGGATTCCTAACAAAAGAAATGCAGAAAGATGTATCAGCTCAAACAAAAAGCAATTAATAAAATACAATGTGAAATATGGAGAGAAAGTGGCTATAAACATTCAGCAGTTTGGGGCTGGGGGTGGGGAGAGGGAAGAGGAATGTTTGTGTAATTAGAAGGTACTACAGCTGCTTCTTCTTTTTTTCTCCTAAATCAGACATTTGACTTTTGTCAAACAACTTGTGAACTATTATCAAATAGAGTCAAATCTAGCAAAAGTTTTCTGCTTTGTAAATTAATATCAAATTTAGGAAATGGCTTTTTGTGCTCCCCAGTCCAGACCATTCCAGTAGACTTCATGTAAATACAGATTTCTTCACTGCTTACTAATGCAAAAAATATGCTTATGGTTAACTATTAACCTATGCTTCCAAATAACACTAATGATTGTGATGTGCTGGAATAAATGCTCATGTTTCATGGGATGAGAGCAGTCCTGTTCTCTTAAGCTTATCTAATCAAAGCYTAATCCTGCCTTTACAGGCTCTGTTTAATGCACTGGTATTTAATATGCATCAATAAATAAACTTTCAATTATTGTTCAGTGAGCATATCCAAAGATAGCATGACAATGTGAAACTCCTGGTCTATCTAGCAATTATTCTAAATAAAGAATGCTGATGATGTGATTTCTCTCTCATCTTATAATGGATAATTTAGATTTTCTGACATTCTTTCGCAGCCTCATAATAAGAAAAAGAAATTAATCTAGAAAAATACAATCCAAAGAATTGAMTTTTCACACAATCCAAATACATATCCCGTGACTATAAATTTAATTGTTTTATTTTAAAAAAACACATGATCCATTCTAAATAAAAAAGACCAACTGATGAAACTTTTAAAGTATTTTTGAAAGGTATTTTGAAAAGCTTACAAAGTAGGTAGTGTGTGATATACATTGTTGAGCTCTGACCCAGTGCATTCTTTTATCTCTTTAAGTTGAATAGGCTTGCTTTTAGAAGCAGTTAAAAACAATGTTCCAAAAGCATATTCATTAACTGCAGTACAAGTACAGCCTTATCAGGTTCTCTGTGCCATCCATGTCTATGTTGCCTTCTTCTTCCAAAGTTTCACTGCTGCTTTAGTGCATTCTTTGCAAATAGTCTTGCCCATGGCATCTGTTCATTAGTATCCAGTGAAACATCAGCCTACTCAAGTTTTTCTGCATCTCTGTAAGAGAAGCTTTCAGTATTTTGGTAACCTTATAAGCCAAACATTGCAGGACAGGGATATGTTTTGTTTGTTTGTTTGTTTTATGTGGCTTTTTTTTAATGGGGCGGTGAACTTGTATGCTGTCATGCAGTTCTACATTACAGATACATTAAGATTTTTGGCTTTTAAAAAWGCTTGTGGTAGTTCCTATTATATTAGAAAGTTTCGGATACTGAGTACTTGCAATTGGCTATTGGTGATTTACTCTTCAGATTTCCAGCAGAATTTAACAAAGTGTGATTTCTGGAAACTTCTGATAGTTTCTCATTAAAATTTCATTTTAAAATGCAATTATTTAAATACATGATTTCTATAATTTCTCCCAATTTCATGATAAACTTACTCCCTCTGAAAGGCAGTGGTTGAAACGTCAGAAACAATTAGCAAAATATATTATATTATATTAATGCTAAATGAAAGAAATAAATCTGAAAAAACCTCAGTCTCAAAGCTGCATTTGTCAAAAGCACTTCTTTGAATTAACTTTTCTAGGATAACTGTTTAATTGTTAACAGACATTTTTCTCAAGTTGTCAAAGTGTTTGAAAAATGAGAGCTGAAGAGAATGCTCAGGACAAAAAAAAATTCCATGAGTAATCAATGGCACGCTCRGGGGGAGTGAGATTTGCTATAGTTGTACTAATAAAATATAAGGCTCAGTTAGAGTACTTTGCCATTTTCAGCCTAAATTTAAATGATTTGGTGATTTGCAAATACGTGAATCCAAAAAAAAAAAAGRAGAATCCAAATGCAAATGAGTGCAACCACAATAAAATATAATTGCAAATGAATCTGTTGCTTTATTCATTTATTGTGTAATTACTGCAGTCCTTCCCACCTTGTTTTCAGTATTTCTTAATCATTAAGTCGGAAGCATGACAGCAGTGCCAGCCCTGGCATGATTCTCTTTGACTAAAACCTTGTAAATTAACACAATTAGCACAGCATCATCCTGCTAATTAACTTCCAGTGTCTGGTGCAGTGGTTTTGCAAACAAGGAAGAGGGAGTCAGAAGGGAATAAACATGCCATTCTGTTACCAAACTGTGTGCTGTGTTAGGTTTAGCTCAGCGAGGCTAAGCTGGCCATGTCAGATGCCAGAGTCAGGCAATGAAGAGCTAAAGGGGTTGGGGAGAGAAACAGGAGGGGGTAGAAGCTGTCAAAATAGACTGCAGTAATTCAGAGGGGAGCTAGTGCCACAGATGCTTCATTTCGACTAGGCCTCCTCCTTATCAGGGAATCTGTGCCAGAGGGCACAAGACTGTTTGCAAAAATCACTTTTGGTAATACGAGAGAGATTAAGGAAGTCTATTTGATACAGCTGTACAAAACCCAGCAATGTGTACCATGCATAGGTACAAGTTGGAGGGGGTTATCTTAACACTTGTAAATTGATCTTACCCATTGCAGTGGATTATGAGGATGAGGGATAATTCACATTGCATTATTTAATGATTAATTGTTTTAAAATGACATTGGCTTTTTTTTTCTTTTTTTTTTTTTTTTTTTTTTTTTTTTTTTTTTTTTTTTTTTTTTTTTTTTTTTTCCTTTATTTTTTTTTCTTTAACCCTCTTTCTTTGTACCCTGGAGGCTGTGAAGCAGAGGAGGGGAAGAGAAAGCAAGCAAGAGACCGACAGACAAGTCATGCTTGTTTTTTTTTTTTCCAGACCCTCAACAACAGAACTGAGAGGCAGAAAGGAGCCAGTTGTAATTCATACCGAGTTGTAGGCTTTGTGTGATGAAAGCGACAGAGCGCTGCCTGGGAGATTGCTTTGCTGCACTCCACGAAGCAGATTTGAAACTGTCGTGGACCACTTTAGATGAGAGTTGGATTATGGAATGACCTGCTATGTCTGTGTCATATTGTTCTGCGCAGGGTGCATTATACTCTGCTAACTAGGTGTTCAGTACCAAATAAGAGAGGTATCCTAGATGTGATCTGTCAGCTGTGTCTCATATTTTTATATTGGTTAAAATATAAAACTGAAACAGTGATGAAAGAGGACAGAGCAGTTGGATGCCTTGTTATATTAACAGCAAATCTCCACCCTGAGTATTTAAAATATACTGAGTTTTATTTAATTACTTTGAGAACTGTAACATTACCTATATTTTTTAAGAAAAAAAATAACCCCCTACTGAATTGGCAAAAAATTTGGCTATGCTTGTGTGCCTGCAACAAACCAACCGTACCACTTCATAAGGGCATTACATTTTTTCCTCAAGGACTGGTGGTGTTAAGTACAGTGTTTCGGAGAGCTGAAAAAGTTCACAGGCTGTATGTTTGAGAACACATTTTAAAACAAATGGAAAAAGCTGAGGTCACTGTTAACTTTGTTGTTTCCTACTGCCCTAGGCTTGAAGATGCAGTGGACGCCGGAGCATGCCCAGTGGCCAGAACAGCACTTCGATATCACTTCAACCACGCGGTCCCCAGCCCACAAGGTGGAAGCCTACCGGGGGCACCTGCAGCGCACCTACCAGTACGCCTGGGCCAACGATGACATCTCGGCTCTGACCGCCTCCAACCTTCTGAAAAAGTATGCAGAAAAATATTCCGGTATTTTGGAAGGCCCGGCCGAGCGGCCCATTCTCAGCAACTACTCTGAAGCTCCCTCAGGGCTGGTGAACGGTCGGAAGAATGAAAATGAGCCTTGGCAGCCATCCCTGAACTCGGAGAGCGTGTATCCCATGAACTGTGTCCCAGATGTCATCACCGCCAGCAAAGCTGGGGTAAGTGCAGCCCTCCCTCCCGCAGATGTCTCAGCCAGCATTGGGAGCTCTCCTGGGGTGGCCAGTAACCTGGCTGAACCCAGTTACTCCAGCAGCACCTGTGGAAGTCACACGGTTCCCAGTCTTCATTCAGGGCTCCCATCTCAGGAATATGCCACAGGATACAACGGCTCATACTTGCATACCAGTTACAGCGGCCAGCCAGCACCTGCACTTCCATCCCCTCATCCATCCCCCCTGCATAGCTCGGGACTTCTGCAGCCCCCGCCACCGCCGCCACCACCAGCCCTCGTCCCTGGCTACAACGGGACCTCCAACCTCTCCAGTTACAGCTACCCTTCCGCCAGTTATCCTCCTCAAACTGCTGTTGGCCCTGGGTACAGCCCCGGGGGTGCCCCGCCACCCTCGGCTTACCTGCCTTCAGGAATCCCTGCTCCAACCCCTCTGCCCCCAACCACTGTCCCCAGCTACTCCTACCAGGGCCACGGTCTGACGCCGATTGCACCGTCTGCCCTGACAAACAGTTCAGCCAGCTCTCTCAAAAGGAAAGCTTTTTACATGGCAGGGCAAGGAGAAATGGACTCCAGTTATGGAAATTACAGCTATGGCCAACAGAGATCTACACAGAGTCCAATGTATCGAATGCCAGACAACAGCATTTCAAATGCAAACAGAGGGAATGGTTTTGACAGAAGTGCTGAAACATCATCCTTAGCATTTAAGCCAACAAAGCAGCTAATGTCCTCTGAACAGCAAAGGAAATTCAGTAGCCAGTCCAGTAGGGCTCTAACACCCCCATCCTATAGTACTGCTAAAAACTCACTGGGTTCGAGATCGAGTGACTCGTTTGGGAAGTATAGCTCCCCAGTAATGAATGAGCACGGTGACGAGCACAGGCAGCTCCTCCCTCACCCAATGCAAGGCCCGGGACTTCGTGCAGCTACCTCATCCAACCACTCTGTGGACGAGCAACTGAAGAATACTGACACACACCTCATTGACCTTGTTACCAATGAGATTATCAACCAAGGACCTCCTGTGGACTGGAGCGACATTGCTGGCCTAGATCTAGTAAAGGCCGTCATTAAGGAGGAGGTTTTATGGCCAGTATTGAGGTCAGATGCATTCAATGGACTGACTGCTCTACCTCGGAGCATCCTTTTATTTGGACCTCGGGGAACAGGCAAAACATTAATGGGCAGATGTATAGCTAGTCAGCTGGGGGCCACGTTTTTCAAAATCACTGGCTCTGGCCTTGTCACCAAGTGGTTAGGGGAAGGAGAAAAAATTGTCCACGCTTCCTTCCTCGTGGCAAGGTGTCGCCAACCATCGGTGATTTTTGTTAGTGACATTGATATGCTCCTTTCCTCTCAAGTGAGTGAAGAACATAGTCCAGTAAGTCGGATGAGAACCGAGTTCCTTATGCAGCTGGACACTGTACTGACTTCTGCTGAGGACCAAATAGTAGTAATTTGCGCCACGAGTAAGCCAGAAGAAATTGATGAATCTCTTCGAAGGTACTTCATGAAACGACTTTTAATCCCACTTCCTGACAGCACAGCGAGACACCAGATAATAGTACAACTGCTCTCACAGCACAATTACTGTCTCAATGACAAGGAGGTTGCACTGCTTGTCCAGCGCACAGAAGGCTTTTCTGGACTAGATGTGGCTCACTTGTGTCAGGAAGCCGTGGTGGGCCCACTCCATGCCATGCCAGCCACAGACCTTTCAGCCATTATGCCCAGCCAGTTGAGGCCAGTTACATATCAAGACTTTGAAAATGCTTTCTGCAAGATACAGCCTAGCATATCTCAAAAAGAGCTTGATACATATGTTGAATGGAACAAAATGTTTGGTTGCAGTCAGTGATGCTACTTAAAAAATARTGTAACAAATGTTGGCACACACAGAATCTGCTACATAGGGGTAGAGAACCCTTTTCAGTAGTGTTAAAATTGCAAAGGGTACTGGGAAGACTACAATTTACCTTGCCTCTAAAGAGCCAGGGTATACTTGAAGGAAAAGTGCATCAAACAAGAGCTGCTGATCTGAAAAAGCCACACATGACAGAAAGCGCATGTTGATGCTCAGTTCTGTTCAAGCTAGACAATACTCACCAAGGAGCAAGGTGCAAGTGGGTTGATTTCAGAAGGACATGAACCCTGTGTGTTGATTCCATTCTGCTGTTCTTGAGATTTAGTTGCTGTCAAGTGCCTGAAGTGGTGCTTTATTTTTTGTTTGCCTCACAATTACATTGGTGGCATGTGCTAATATAAAGAGCTTTAACTTCAAACATTATTGGACTAAAGAGATGAACGGTTGTGTTGCGACAGAGAGCCAGATTTTTGCTATTCTAAGAGCAACAGTATTCCTCAATCCTGTCTGTTCTGTGGTGGTAAGCTAAGAACAGGTAAAACAGGGTAATGGTAATCTGGACCTTAATTTCTGCAGTTCATTTCTTTTAATGTTCTGTCTGCAAAAACTCAGGAAAGTGATTGTGATTTGTACAGTACCTCAAAGGAATGTGTTGAAAGCACTATGTACTGCTGAGAGTTATAGGCTAGGCTTCAATGTTACTTTATATTAAATATGTATGTTTACCTCAACAATTGGAAAATGGCAAGGAAAATTACTTTGAATGTATCCAGGAAAAAAACTAGTGTGATATGACTGAAGCTTTACAGTTTTTAAAAATAGAAACAGAAGCATTTTCCAGTGTTCAGGAATGGTTCTTTTGCCAATTTGTCACATCAAACCAGAGCAGAGCGGTTTTTCTTGTTGGTAAACTGTAAGAGTTTTCAGCATATTGCTCCTTGATAATAATGTGATACAGTTTTTAGAAGGTGCATAGATGAATGAAAGAGCCACTTAATCGGTTTATGTTAGCGTCTGAAACAGTCAAACGTAAGATTTGGTAGGATTCCGAGAGGCAAATTACCTTAAGCTGTGACGGCTGGCCTTTGTTGCATGGCTCTAGTCGTAGTTTTGAGGCTATTTTGGTGAAGCTGTAGGGAGTGGAATCAGTGTAGGTCGCTGGCAGAGCTATGGGTTGCAGAGCTGTTTATAGCAGTGCAGTGGACTGTGACCAAACAAACAGTACAAATAACAAAGCAAAACTGAACCCTCAAAATACATTTACTTCCCTTCCTGAACTGTAAAGTTGAGTTTTTGTTGTGTACGTATGGCTTCATTGTCTTTAATGCAATCTTCATTTAGCATCCATTAGAAATCTTTCAGGCTGGAGTGTGCCCACCATTATTTCTACCTCAGTTTTGTTACATTTCTCTTGGAAAGCAAAGTTAGAAATAGGGCAAAAAACACCACCAACACAAGTCAGATTACATTAGGAATGCGAACCTGCTAAACAAGTTTCAGAGAGCTGCTGTTTTTTCCCCTGAAGTCAAGTTTTTCTCTGTGATAGTGCTCTTTACGCCCTCCTTTTTCCTCCCCCAAATATACATATTCTAGTGTCTTCCTTCTGGAAAGACTAGCTGGCATGTGTGGCATTTTGCTCAGTTCTCCCCCACCCCARCCCCCCTTTCTTTTTATCCTTTAATGCTTTCTGTGCAACTCTTTTGGTGACAGCTGACTGATGTTGGGTAATGTCTCTGAGCAAGAGCCGTGCGTGTTGCAGCTGCCCAAAGCCTCTGCCATCACATGAACAAAACAGCCTTGCTTTTTTGAATGTATTTTTTGTTTGTTTACTTTAAAGAAACAGTAACAAAACTGTTGCAAAGCACTGGCATTTAATGTTTCTCTTAAGTAATGTACGTCAAGACCATTAAATAAATGCACTGAAAAGCCCCAAGAAAAGAGAAACCAATCTGTTACTAGGTCATGTTTGTCTTCTCAAAAATTGTACAGACCTTGTCCGTTTTGTTAAATCAATGGAGACATTTAGCATTCAGAAAGCTAATGAGGGATTTTGTGATATTGCTGGAAATTTATGACTCTTGATTATTACTTTTCTTTATTTTTCTTTTAAGATATATATATATATATTTAGATAGAACATGCTAAAAACCAGAGCAAATAAACCAAAATCTAATTTAAGATGGATTCCTGGCAAACATTTTGTCTATCTAAAACTTTATGTTTTAAGCATAAGAGTACCATTTTAAAAACAGTGCCTTTCATTAAGGATATAGAAAGTAAGACTTAAGTACATCACCTGCTTTTCTTCTTTTTGTTTTCTTTTTCTTTTTAACAGCAATTACAGTATATGATCCTTGTTATGACCCAGTCTTTCTGCTTCCCCAAACCTCCACAGGCTGCTTCTTCACCCCGGTCATTCCACCATCTTCATATTTGGAAGATGCTGATGTCCCCATTAGCTGTAGGTTCACACTGATCACACTGGCAAGTACACTGTTGCAGATCGCTGACCCAATTTCTGTCTTAGACATTKCCTTTCATATCTGCCGTTGAGCTGTGCTCATTTAAAAGTCTCAGACAAGTTTTGATAAACTGTTCTTCCCAACTAGACTCCTAACAGATTCTTTTTGCAGCTTGTAAAACGAAAAATACACACTGGGTGTTTTTCCCCCCTCTTTTTGTCCAGTGGCAAAACCAAAAGCAAACAAAATTATAGACAGTCCCTTTGGCTTCCAGCTTTAAGTCATTCTCTTTAAAAAGTCACTCTGGGAAATAGATTTTTCCAATGTTAACCAAAGGGAGAAGCAGGCAGAAACTGAAATGGTGTGAAAATGCAGGTTCCACACACACATGCTCACATTCTCCAGGTCTCAATTCGGCTTTGGGGCAGCAGAAGTGGAAAGCTTCACCCTTATCACAGCTGCTGTAAGGAGAGGAAAACAGAGCCGGGTTGTTACCCAAATCTTTCCTTATCAGCAGCTTTGGAAGGGTGCCTGTTGAATTTGGTGAGAGCTTGGCCAGGAACTGCTGGCAAGAGGCACCTCAATCCTTCTCCAAGTGGTTTCTGGCCATTCTTTTGATGGAATTCAGGGCTGAGATGGCTAAACCCTCTGCCATGTTCTGTCCTTCCTATTGCTTTCCTTCCTCCTCCCACATTCAGCCCCTGTTTTGTCCCTAGTGAGCAGGTTTTGGCACGCTGCTGGTCATTCACCCCTCTCAGCAGCCTTCTAGTCAAGGGCCCAGGAAGGCTGAAGCATGATCCTGTACTTGAGCGGGTCCCGAAGGGTAGGATTGTTTTTGAGAAGAGAGACAAAATATGTTTTAATGGTGATTTCAGGATGAAATATTTGCTGGTCTTAGACATTTCCATGGTAGAAAGCTGTTTGTTGTCTTTTACAATTGGGCAGAGCTGGGGGCTGCTGCCACAGAAATGCCCAGGGGGTTGGCTGGGGCTTCCTGCCTCTGGCACAACCCTGAATTTTAAGGAACCTGATATGGTTAAAGAGCATCTGCTGTGTCAGCCTATCACTGCAGATGTTTTATGTCGTATTTATATGTGTGGGTTCCATTCTGCATCAGCTCCTTTTCTTCCTTGTACCT